CTCTATCTAGTGTAGAAGTTTCATCGAGAACGAATGCATGCTTCATTAGTTCTGAGCAAAACAAGTTGCAAAAAGTCAGTCTACATTTAGAGCGGAAATTGACTTCCGCAAGAATGAAAGCTGTTTTCATCTCTACCAAATCATGCAAACTGGATTTATTTTTAAATAGAGTTGTAGACCGACGTCTGATCTACAATTTAACCACTCCAAAAATTTCTTCAGTGGCGGACTTTTGGGAAAAACTGTAAGAGAGGGTCGGTCTACAAAAAACGGGACAGAGGCTTGTAAAATGATTATATCTAAACAACAACAAAAAAAAGTAAACAAAGTTGACACAATTCAATTCTCTACAGGATACGCTGCTTTCCTTTTCTTTTTATATCTTTTTATATAATCAAAAATTCAGTTTTCAGATGATGAGTCATCAGAAAATTAAGTTTTTTCAACTTTCGAGTCCCATAACGTTGCAACGAAAGGACATATCGAGTAGAAAATTTTTGTGGAAGTGGGCAAAGTACTAGGCAAAGCACAGGAAAAAAATTGCTCAAGCAAGCCTCTTGTAACCTGAGTTATTATAGAAACATATCTAAACAAGTGATTGTACTAGAAAGTTACGTTTCTCTCATATATTACTCACTTTTGTTGAACATGACATTTGTTTTTGAATTTTTATCACAATTGGAGGACGATTACAGTTTGTTAGTGAGCCATTAACATTAACTAATTGACCATTACTGGAGTTCTGTGCAATTACAGATGGTTTTTTGAATTGTGCTTTGATGATATTATTATGCGACTGTTCTGTTAGAGACTTTTGACCATTAACTAGAAAAACACAAGTGATCGATGTCATAGGACATTCAGTTTATCGAGTAATTCGTACATATGGCTGTTTTCTATCTAGTTCAAACTGTTTTTTGAAATTTAGTTTGTGTATTAGTAGAATTATCACAGCGCTCTCTCATTTGGAAAAACAACTTATAATAAAATGACTGAAAATTTATGTTTTTTTTACACTCGACATGTTCTGTTGTTTACTACTCGTCAGAAAGTAAAAAGTTAATGCCTAACCGTTTTTTGGAATTTTTTGAGTTGGAACCTGTAATGGTGTAAAAAATGGCATTGTATTTCCATTTGCTTTTCCACTTTGTATAACTAATTTACTTGTGGGTGTTTTTAATCCATTTGTTGCACCATTACCATTGTGCTGTGGTGTTCCACTAGATGTTTCATTTATATAACAAAGTATATATGCTCCATATTGATTAAGTACTTCATTTGTTTGACATTTAATCATCGATGTATCATCTGCTTTATACCACAAATTGTTCGGTGATCGTACGTAAGCATAATAGTGGCCACTATGCATCGATGAGCCAACATGTACGAGAACAGCGTACAAACGATAATTTGATGTCTGTTGCTTAATTGTTTGTTGTGTTTCTTCACTCAAATATGGATAAATATTGAGATGTTCCGAATAACGTACTAAATGCGATAGTTTATGCGAATTTTTACCGAATTCAAAACGTTTTAAATTAATTAATAGTATTTTTGGCGTTTTATGTAATGTATATCGTTTTGTTGCTTGAACTAATGTTTTACATTTAATACAACGATACAAATTTTCTCCCGATAAAGTTTCTTTACATATAAATTGTTGTAATGATTGTTGTAATTCATATCGATTTCGAACGCCAACAATCCACATATAATGAACTTCATATGTGTCCGATGTATGATGACATCGACCACATTGTACACGTGAACGTAACACAAGTCCAAATAGATCATGTAAAATAGTTTGACTATGGCATAATTTATCATAATGTGTGCCCGATGATGGTAACAGACGTTCGGGTGGTTGTGATGAACGTAAACAACTTTCAACAATTTTATCTAATAAACAAATTAAAAATTCGCTAGCATCCTCTTGCCGCCCTTGTTTGAATGTTGTCGAAATATCTTTTATACGTCTTGCAATTAATGTTGGTATAACGGCTTGTGAAGAAAATGTGTTATTGTTTGTTGTTGTTCCATTACGATGAATCAATTTAATCACACGTTCTGCTTCGCAAAATGAACAAAATTGTTTTTCAGCTTTCACACGACCTATCAAAAGCAAGAATAATTTTACAATAGAATAACCTTACATCTGTGAAAAAGTTAGTTAGATCTCGGACCAATCATGACCGGGGCAACTTACATCCATTAAAATGGGAATTATTGATTAACCATTGAGCCAACGGCGGACTAAAACACAAAATTGTGTTAATTATAAGAGATAAGCAACTGTAGAAATATCAAACACTTACCAATTAGCTAAAACTTGTAACGATGCATTTATGAAACATGTATTTCCTAAATTGACTAAACCGGATCCACGTTCATGCAATAATTTCCATTCCATTAGTGGATCCATAGCTGGTGATGTCAATGAAGACATAGATAATGAAGATTTTGATGGAGAATAATTGGATGACGGTATTTGTGCTGAAATTGGTATGTCAGATGATCGATTTGACAGTTGTTCTAAAACACAAAATAAAAACAATTTTTGTTACCATAAAAATTATTATATGACTCATGTTCCTGCGACAGACTTTTGAACTATTATATTTTTGAACTATAGATACTTACCATACCATACTTTCTTTAACACTTTGAAATTTACTCAACAGAAACAAAAGAGGCAATGTTTTTGTCTTCAACAGTGACTTTGTAGTAAATAAAATCATTCCAAATATGAAGTAAGCTCAATTCATATAATTCTTTCCTAGAGTAATACCTTTCTAGTCAGACTCACGCAAAAAAGTAAAGGACATATCATACGTGAATTCGTATTGTTGTAAGATGTTAAAACAACATTATTATTCGATGGCATATTTATCTCTTTTTTAACTTTATTATTTGTTGTATTTGTATATAAACGACGAAATTTATCTAATGGATTTTTTGTATATTTTTTAAAGACTAATTTTTGGTTCAAAATTGAATGACGTTTATGTTCAGCACCAATCAATTGATTCGAGATCGATGCGAAACGTGAACATAAGTAACGCTCACATGCTTTATCCAAATTTTCTGGCATAACCTAAATGAATATACAGGGAGATAGACATGTTATTGTTGTCGTTGTTGTAGTTTTTCTATTGAAAAATTTCATCTGTTAATAAACTATGTAGATGTTATGACTTTTGCCATTTATTTTTTTACCTATATGAGATAACAACGTGGAATAATAATAGCTCGAATTTTTCTAAAGGAATAAACAACAGAAACGTTTTGTCCACGGGGATATAATTTTAGTAGAAAAACAAAAATTCTTTAGAAAAGTGACGGTACTTACGAATTTGATTTGAGTAGAGAATATGCCATAAGTCTTTACACGATATCTAAAACAAATACAGATTAAGACATGGATATATCGTACAATCTATAGAAAATCCGATGGCTAACAGATGACTACTCACAAAAAGCATCGTGTTTCTCTGAATCAAGGAACAGACGATGTTGAATCTTTGAAAGAAATACCAGTTATCACTTTTATTTCTGACATTCGAATACGGTGTATTACCTGTTCTTTATCTATCTACTCTAACAAGATCGAAGGACATGTTATGTGCATTCAAATTCGCTGATCCATCAGTACTGACTCTCTTACTCACAGATACAAATTCAATATTACTCACTAATCTCTCGGAGTGGGACAATCTGATAAGGAATTATGAGAAAACATGAATAGTTAATTTAAATACAACAATAACTCGGCGAACATTCGCTAAAGAGAGTTTTTAGTAAATTTTACGCATTCTATCTCAGACATGAGTCAGCATTAGCTAATACTGAGTGCAAAAACTCTGCCAACCATCTATTTAGTCATTCTTCTGTTTCCAATTACATAAAAGGCACAAAAAGAAAGAATACGACCAACAAAAATTCACTAATACTCTAAACTAAGCCCCAAACTAACTTTTAGTACACTAACCCCTACGATACGAAGCTACTATACGCCATTACAAAAATAAAGATCAGATTGGTGCATAATTCTACCAATAAGAATCTCAGGATTAATAAGATATCATTTTAGCGGTTAAAAAGCTGAACATGGCAGAATAATCGTCGAATACCACCCAAGACCAGAATGGACAGGTAGCCATTTTTACTGTTCGGGCATGCTTGATTCACACTATATATCTCGAGCATGCGTATTTAATGCATTTCTCTTCATTCATATACATTCATTCATATATATACATCCATGTACAGTACATGCATACGGCTTACAAGTTGTATGCTTGAAAATATGTTACATGCCTATGTTAGTGGAAATAGTGTCTGTTTAGGTATCAGGAAATTTGTCTAGGGCATTGGTCAATTGAAAGCATCAATAAATCTCTACTACTGATTATATTTAACTTAACTCAACTAGCATGATTTATTTTTTGTTTTTATACAGGTTATATTACAATATAGTTCATGTTTTTTATATTTTATTCTTTAGCTTGTATTGGACTTTATCATGTATAATTACGTCTGCTAATGTGGATATGCCTGTAGTGGGACTGACGACGAAATAATTCCATTTAAACTTTTCTCTCTGTTTATTGAATGAATAGAACATCCATAAATTGACGAGGATCCCCACGAGGAAGCGGACAAAAGTCATATTAGCTTTTTAAGAAACATGAAGACAGCTATGATGACACAACAAGGAGGCAAGATGTTTGAAATGTAAAAATGTTAAGATTTAACCGAATAATTAAATGAAGGCATCCACAGCCAACTGAGGTAGACGATAATCAGTTTTGTGAGAAGTATCATTGACTGTTGTATGACAGCTGCTGTGTTTACATTCGTTGCTCTGAACAGAAAATGTGAATCGGTTGGAACAAATGAAATTGTGCTATCACAGCAACGAAGGGACTGTGACATCTAATATATAACGTTTTTCTTTCTGAATACTTCGTTAAATAGAACAATATGCGAATTCAGCTCCTGACAAGATCCACTGAAGAGCATAGCACGGAAATTTTTAGTCACGTTTCCGATTGTTCTTAGGGATGGGAGAGGCTAAAATTTCTGCTTCGCAGAAAGTGGCTGACGAAAAAATGTTTTCGAAATATTTGACAGAAAATTGCTTGCGAAAAACGTCAAAGATTTTGTCGGGAAGTTCAAAGACTTTCTAGGGAGGGTCCAGCCCCACCTGATCTTGAAGGCTGATTCCGACAATGCTGTATTTGTTCATCGGTAAATTATGTTTCGTAATGAAAGTGATGAGTGTCGGTAACAATCAGAGCTGCAGAATCTGCCTGTTTGCTCCAACGGTCGTCGGGGGAAATATTAATTCCGGGAAATCTTTTTGAAAAACTGGAACTCCTTTTTGGAAATATTTTTTAAAAAGATATTCTGTTAATCTCACGGGTAGATTCTGCACCTCTGGTAAATACATGTGATAAGTTGGCTACAGTAGTAAAAATGTGCATCGTTTGCACATTATTATGTTTGATGTTTTAAAATTTATACTAAAAAATAAAGCGGTACTGCTAAATTTGTAGGAATTTTATTTAGGAGAAACAGAACACAAGGTACTTTAAATGATTCAAAATAATTCGTAGCCAGTTTTGGATACCAAATAACATTGATTACGATATACAAAAACAATTTGTTCAAACGAACAAAGTAAAAAAGCTCAATAATTTGATTGAGCAGTTTTCAGTGTATTCACTCATGTATGCTGAGAACTACAGAATATTGTTTCTCTAGTAATCAGATCCAAGAAAAAACCTAAACTGGAGAACATTCATGAGAATGTTCAGCTGAAGAGTTTTCGTACTTCAGTATAGGTATACTGTCTCGGAAAAAAGCTCGGTAAAAGTATGAAAATAGCACAGAAAAAATGTGTCGTTGAAAGTCCCAACTTCAATCTCCAATAAGAACAAATAGCACACTTTTTTCGTGCTTTTTCAGCACATGTGTGCTTTTTTTCTCCGGTTGGTTTCCACGTTTTACCAAAAAGTGTTCTACTGCCACGCGTTTTAGGGCTACTATCATACTGAAGACCTAACACAAGTACACTAAAAGTATGCTACAATTGAGTGGTTTAAGCCACTCAGTTTGTAATATGTTTATTTTCACAAAGTGTATTACATCTTCAGATCCAAAATTCGGCGAAATTAAGTATATTTTATCTGGATTACTGAAGAAAAAAGTAAATCTTGGAGAATTATCAGAAAAAACCATCGCCACATTTATTCCTAGTCAGTATACTTTAACCGAGCTTTTCCGCGACAGTGTAGTTATATAAGTAGTATATATAGTGTAAATAGCGACAGATACTTTGCCGACTGTGGATCAGTCATTGTCAGCCCTAAATGTGGCTGGACGCAAATTAGCCATTCACAAAAGGCCAATGACTTGATATGACTCATTCCTATTGCCAATTTTCATTGTGTTAAAAATGCTGTTTTATCACGGCGTTTGTCTATCGTAGGGTAATAGACTATCTATCATCACAGTCTAACTAATTGAAAGTTTTATCTAAATAAAAATGTTGTTATTGTTCAAAAATCTACAAAGATGTTAAATCTTTATTGTCTCTGTAATTACAACTACTAACAGCGCAACTGATTTATTTCTGTAGGAAAACAAAATTTAGCTTTGTTTTTGTTGTTTTTTATTTAAAAAATAACAGCTGCAGTTGGAAAAGCAATTGTAGCCAATCAGACCAAGGACTGATATCTTTCATTCTAGAATCTAGACAGATAGTTTTATAACTAGTATTATAAGTGTTCACTCTGATTTATAGTGTAAACTTTTTCGCGGAAAATTGACTACGTATGCCTTCATTTAATTATTATTGTTCTGTCATCATAGCTGTTTTCATGTTTCTTAAAAGTTATATTCATAATATGACTTTTGTCTCAAATAAGAAAGAATTTCGACACAATATAGACAAGTTATATCAAAACAACTACCATAATGAACTCAAAAATCTATTTTCATTAGAGTGAAAATACGATCAGCGATCAGATCGCAATTAATAATGATCAAAATTAGAACGAAATAAAGAAATAAAAACAATTTATCAGAAATAAGTTTGGTAAAAAACCTTTACCAGACCTTCGGTAAAAACCTCTTTACGGCTACCACGGTAATCTCGTTTTCGGTAAATTCATCTTACTGTTATCGCAGTAAAAAGGTTTTTAGTGGTACCGACGGTAAATTATCACTTACCACATTCTTACTGTTGAGTCGGGTATGTATTATCGACAGTTCGTTTGGCTTTGTCTGCATGACATAATATTAAAATCATTTATTTACTTCTTTGCTATCCAATTGCTACTCAACTTTGTCATTTGTCCTTATTACATTCTGTATACATTCATTCTTAATAATCGTTCTCCATCCATATCAAAGTGTCTATTCTATCTCCATATGTATGTTAAAGAGCCAAATTCATCTTCACATTGTTCAAGCCTTGTTTAAGATGGATGTAGTAGCAATTCCTTAGTTTTTTTTCCGTTTTAGATGGTTATTCTGTAATTGAAAAGACATTGTGGTAATTAAGATTTTTTTATTATACAATTGAAGTAAGTAAAATTTTTATCATATTTTCATCTTGTATAGACAAATTCTTGATAAAGTAGATTTTGCCGTATCTTTGAAAATTTGCTCAATGATGTTTACTTTCTACTTATAGAAATATTTAAAATGGATCCATATGGCGGCAGTGACTCATCTGGTGCAGTTAGTACGTCGTATAATCGTGTGAGCATAGTAATTCAACGAATGTTGGATCGTGCCACTCCGTTTATAGCATTACGATGGCTATTTAATTTATTTTTATTAGTATTATTTGCACTGCGTATATTTTTTATTCATGGATTTTATATAATCGCTTATGGCCTTGGAATATTTTTATTAAATCAATTTATTTTATTTTTAACACCAAAACAAGATCCATCTTTGAGTAGTTTAGACAATGATGATGATCATGCGCCAACTTTACCAACACGTGCTAACGAAGAATTTCGTCCATTTATGAGACGACTACCGGAATTTAAATTTTGGAATACAACATTGAAAGCTTTAATTATCAGTTTATTAACAACCTTATTTGATATATTTGATGTGCCAGTATTTTGGCCAGTATTAGTGATTTATTTTTTCACTTTATTTTTTTTAACAATGAGACAAAGAATTGCTCATATGATTCAATTTCGTTATGTACCATTCTCCTACGGAAAAGTACGTTATCAAGGAAAAAATGATTTAATAAAATCAACAGGAAACGTGGTAAATAATGGTATTAAAACATCAACAAAATAAAACTTAATAGAGAAATAAATTAACTATAAATTCAACTGACACTTTTTCAGTGTTATCATCCGCAATCCGGTATCATCCATTCTTTCCATATTAGCTGTAAGATTGCGCGGATTACGGACTAATCTACTTGAAGTTCACAGTAACCAACATTTTTCTCTTTCAGTAATTATCAATATCGGGTGGTAAAGTCGAGGAAGATGCCATTCATGTTTTTTTAGGAAAATTTTTTGCTTTTACTTAAGTACCTCGTCTCAAATAAGTTCGATTTTCAAAAAGAAAATGGAATATTCTCTTAGTTTTTGCTTATATTTTCTGTAAAAATGTTGATAACTTATGTTAGCTTCAGATTCTTCTTGTTTAAGTTGCATTTTGTATTTGCTTGTTTCTTCATGCCACATTGTATTGCCATCTCTTTCCATTATTTTTGTTTATTTGTTTATTTATTTTTTGTTTAGGACATATAATCGATCATTTTCTTGTTTCTTTGTCTTCCTCTATTGAAACCATAAGAAGAGTATTATAGATCAATAGTATTTTTTGTTTGTCATAATAGCGCCACATTAATATGTCCTCTTATAAAATTACTATGTGATAAGTGTTGTTCAAAATTTAGCGATCTTATCTATTTCTTCTGAGATGTTTTAAATGTGTGAATAATTTTCCTTTCAGATTAAAGAAATGGGTATTCACAATTTAGCTAAACTAATTGCTGATCAATGCCCGCAAGCCATAAAAGAAGGTGAAATGAAAACTTATTTTGGTCGTAAAATTGCTATCGATGCGTATGTATCATTGCTACTGTTTAAAAAAAAAGATTTCAATATTCAATCCCTGTTTTTTTCTAGTTCCATGAGTATCTATCAGTTTTTAATTGCTGTACGACAAGATGGTCAAAATTTAACAAATGAAAATGGTGAAACAACAAGCCATTTAATGGGCATGTTTTACCGTACAATACGTATGGTTGAAAATGGTCTTAAACCTGTTTTTGTATTTGATGGAAAACCGCCACAAATGAAATCGCAAGAATTACAAAAACGACAAGAAAAACGTTCAGAAGCTGAATCAGAAGTGGCAAAAGCAGCTGAAGCCGGTAAATTACTTGTTTAATTTATCATACCTTCTTCTAAATTGTATGATTTATTCGCATGAAGTATTTTGTCAACTTGATGAGATGAATAAGGCCCATTTTACGTGAATGAAATCTGTATGTTTATTATCTTGCTTAAGCATTTGTATACTGGTTGAAAATGAAAATATAAATTTTTGAAATGTCGGAATAAATAAATATTCAAATGACTTTATATAGAGCTTCTGTGAAATTTACTTAGCTGATTTGTATCGTGATAGGTCTCTTATAGTGACGTTATTCTGTATAATTGTGCGTTAAGGAATTCTCTTCATTCCATATGATGTAACTATTCAAAGACTTTGAGTCATTTTGGAGGAATATTGAGTTCGGGTATTGCTTACAATAAACAAGCTTGAGAGAATTGCTTGGCTTCATAGCATTTGAATTGAGCTACTGAGTTCTGCAACGATAACTTGATGTTTTATCTGTATTTTCCGATATTCTCTTAGTTTCGAGCACATTAGCTCTGATTATCTGTTATATAATTTGTCATTGGGTAAGATTTTTATTTCCGTCGTAGATAAATGAATAACCACATTCACTTTTCTTCAGTTCATTGAGCGAACTTCAACTTTTGACTAATAATATTCACTCGCATATACTCATGTAAAACTATTATTGTATCTAAACTTTTTATTTTTGTTCTTTTCTATTTCAGGTGATGAGGAGGCATTTGATAAATTTTCTCGTCGTACAGTCAAGGTAACTCGTGAACATAATGAAGAATGTAAAAGATTATTAAAATTAATGGGTATACCGTATGTCGATGCACCCACAGAAGCAGAAGCACGTACGTCGTTTCTCTCTCTATGAGAAGTTATTTATCAATGAAGAGAATGTCTTTGATTTTTCTAGAATGTGCAGCTTTATGTAAAGCTGGAAAAGTTTATGCTGTTGGTACAGAAGATATGGATGTGAGAATTTTATTAATTTTAAATTATTTTTTATTTTTTAAAATTGTTCATATTTTAGGCATTAACATTTGGTGCTAATGTACTTGTTCGACATTTGACATTCAGTGAAGCAAGAAAAATGCCTATACGTGAATATTCATTGGCCAAAGTATTACAAGGTCTAGATTTATCAACAGATGAGGTAAACAAATTTTTTTAATATAATATACTCTTATTTATTTTTAATATTATTAGTTTGTTGATTTATGTATATTACTTGGCTGTGATTATTGTGATTCAATTAAAGGGATTGGTCAGAAACGTGCTTTAGAGTTAGTTAAACAATATCGTACAATTGAAACAGTTCTTAAACATATCGATAAAAAAGTATGTAATAAAATTGATGATAATACATTACAATGAAAGAAATATTTTTCGTCACGTTTTTAGAAACATCCAATTCCAGAAGAATGGCCATTCGAAGAAGCACGCCAATTATTCAAAACACCAGATGTTATTGATGGCAATACTGTTGATGTAATAAACCCAAAAAGAGATATATATTTTTATTATGTAGTGTAATATAATACTTTTTTGTTCTAGCTCAAATGGGATGAACCTGATGAAGCTGGTCTTATCGAATATATGGTCAAAGATAAAGGATTTAAGTAAGTCCCATTAATGTTGTCAAGGATATCTTGATACAGTTATACATTTCTGCTTATGTAGTAAAGAGAATTAATAAGGAAACGTATAAATATTTTCATATATCAATGCCCACTTCTGTTTCGTCTAAATTTATAAATTTATAAAAAATGAAAATCAGCAGTTTATACAAAAATTTCAGCGATGTTTTGTACCTTTAACATTGAGTATATCTGAGACTAATTTGATGTAATGATAGTATCATTATATTAAACACTGATTTTATAAGAGAAGAAATTGTACTCGTTATCATATTTACTTTTGCACAATTTCATCTTAAGATACATGTGTTTGATTTTGAGTACTTAACCCTGTTCACTCAACTACGTCAATATGATTTTGTGCTATGCTTAATTTCTGTTCTTTATCCAATATTTTTCTCTATGTTTTACTATCACCATTTAAATTAATCGATAATGAACTTTGTGCTGAAGTTGTTTTTCCTGTGATTTGAGTTGTTGGCAGGTGTTGTGAAATATGAGGTGTAGGTTGTAATATATATGTCGAGTAATCGATGTTAATGACGATAGTAAATAACATAGAATGTATGGTGTATACTGAATATCTGACCAGGTATTATGTAACGATGGTGACATCTGATATCTTGGATATCTGTGACGGTGATATGGATGTGAAGTTGTATGTGAATGTGGATATTTTGATGAACTGATTTTTAGCGAACGAAGTTGTTCTTGTTGTCGAGTTGAACATATTTTACACAAAGGTTTATTATGCACTTTATACGATTCACTATGAATTATTTCTTTGCAACAATAATCACAATTTGAAGCGATTGCTGACTCAATGAACTTTGATACATTGAATATTTTTAATAATTCTTCTTTTGTGGCTAGTGCATATTTTAATTCATCAACTGTTGAAAATGTAATACGCTCATTTTCATTATCAACGTATTGCAATTTAAAACCATCCGCTTGAATATTCGGATTATAGGTAATTACTTTTGTTAGCAATTGTCGATAAATATTACTTAATGGTGTTATATCAATCGCAATTAGGCTCATGACTTTAAAAATGAACATAGCTAAGAAAATATCAAACTTTACTAATATTAAAATTTAGAATGATAAAATTTTCTGATGATCAACATTTACCTATTTATAAATCTCAAATTTCTCAACGAAAAAGTAGATATTTACTAAAAAACCACGAATTTCTGCTCGAGAATTTTTGTGGCTGTATAATAAGCTTTGACAAAGATTAAATCTTGTAGTGTTGTTATTGGTTTCGTTGTCATTTTATTGCAAGAATTTTGTTTCTTGTAGTTAGCTATTATTTATGTGCAAAATATAATGGAAGAATTAAATGCAAGAAGAATACTTCCCGTTTTGCATTTTGCCCGATACAATAAAAAAATCTTTTTTGTTTTTTTATTTTCTCATTCTATGGGTTTTTTTGTGGACCATAGTGGAGCCTTGATACACTTTCGCTTTTTGTTTGTTTGTTGTAGAGCAAATAATCATACCTTTATTTATTTTATACTTAGTTGAAGAGTAACTTTACAGATATAAAATAATATTTCGGCATTTTTATTTATTCTCAGTCAGAAATTCAGCTATTTTAAAATTTTGCTAGTTCTCAAATGTTAACATTTGTTCAAATTCTTGTCTGGGCTTAAATGAAGAATTGTTATAATAGTACTAAAACAAAAGTGAGAGACGCTTTCAACGCTGCAATCAAAAACATATCTTGAAAATTTTTGTGTTACTCACTTGAATTTTTTGAGAATAGCAATTGAATGTATCACGCTAGAAGTACCCTCTTTTGTTCACAGGTTTTTAGCTTTTTATCACGTTAACACAGGATTATGTTTTTATTAAACCTTTACTATATTTACAAAATAAAAAAAAATGTACAAGAACTTCTTTTTTTTTGCTACAGAAATAGTCTCGAAGAAAAATTAACGACATGAATTATAAAATATAATAAATTAAATGTCTGTTAAATAAATACTTATTTGGTAATTTAAATCGGATGTTGATAGTTAGTTTTTATGATGTCTTGGATTAATTGCATCTAAAACTTGATTAATATCACCTTGTTTTGTACGTATTAAATCTGTAAGTACACCATTTGTATCAACAAAACCCATTGCTTTCATACGTTCAACACAATCTTCAATTTGTTTGTCCATTGTATTTATTTTTGGCGGTGGTGGAACTGAAGTCGATGATGGACTTCTTAAAATATTAAGTAATGATGAAAATGTACCATTGGCATTGTTGTTACTATGTGCTGGTAATTCAGAATTGACCGGTGTTTTCGGCACGGCGCTTGGTTCGTGTGATGGGACACTAGTGGCTGAAGATGCTGATAATGAACTCGTTAATTTTGTCATTGGAACACTTTCATTTTCTGTTTGCATTTCATTATTATTATTAGCAGTGGTTTGTGTACCTTCTTGTCCTTGCAATTCAGTTGATTCAGTAGTGGTAGTTGCCGGTTGCTGTTGTTGCCGTTGTTTTGTATGTTCATCAACAGAATAATCACAATCAATTCCAAACGGTGACAGTGCTTGTTGTAAAAATTTTCCAACATTTTCAAGATAATGCTTTGAATTTGTTATATGATGTTGACCATTTTGTTTTAAATAATCAAAATGTTCTTGCAAATGTGCGCGCAAATGAGCGGCATTATCAGCATTTGGTATCCATTGAGGTAATTGATTTTGTATATGTTCAAAGAATTGTGGATCGGGCATAAATGGAGGTGGTGGCGTAGTTGAAGTACCTCGTTCTTGATCTGATGTAGAATTATTCGTTGCTGATGGTCGTTGATAATAATTCCAAAATCGTCGACGATGATGTGAATGAGGTGAACTGTTGCCACTATCATTTTGACCACCGAAATGACGTCGTCCATTATGAAAATATGGATGATAAAAGGGTGAACCATTTGAACTATTACCTGGCTTCGAGATTTTAATCATTTCATGTTCAGAATGAATACCTTTAGCGGAACATTCTTCACATAAATCGTAATCGGGACAGACATAACACTTATAACGTACACCGATAATAGGACCTTCACATCCATTACATTCGATACCAGTATGACATTCACCAGCTGGTTTTGTGCTAGCACTTGTTGTTGATTCTTGTTGTTGTGGTGGTGATAGTGGAGCATTTGGTGTAACAAATATTTTTAATGTCGAATCCTTATTTGTTGTTAGAGCCGAACGTAATTCATCATTCGAACTGAATGTGATACGTTCATTTTCATCATCAACGTATTGTAATGCAAAACCATTTAGTTGTATATCAGGATTAAATGTTGCAACCTTGCTTGTTAAATCACGATAAATGTCATTTTCTGGCGAAATATCAATCTAAATATAAAAACAATATAGATTGTTAGTGGGCAATTAGTTTTCTAGGTAACAAGATTCATAGATTAGAAATATTTCGTCAAGTCATTAAGAAATGTTGTTAACTTACCGTAAAACGACGTATTTCTGGTTGAGCTTGTTTGGAATTTGTATAATAAGCTTTAATATAAATTAATGATGTCATTTTTGCTTATGTATATATGTAATGCGAGAAGCAAATAATCAAATGAAACTAGGACGGTGCACAAACAGCTTTTTATATATGAAATGAAATAAGCATGTGATTCAAAAGAGAGAATGATGGAGAAAGAAAACGAATAGACAACGAGTTGGATAAATAAGGCAAACAAGACGAAGGAACAAAAAGAAAAAAAATTCCGTGTTTTAACGTAAGAGTATTAATCATACATATATCGTTACATTGATTTACGCAAGGAAAGAAAAAAATAAGAAAAGGGTGTCTGTTCATTGATGACGGTGCGTTGACTAAAGATATAAAAGGGTTTGAGAGAAAACTTCTTGTTTTCTTGAATAATATAACATTAAAAAATTCCCCATTATTAAAACACTATGTAAACACGTTTATGTCTAATTTGGAAAAAAAATTGGTTTGCTGCATGCATAAATGTGAAATTGAATTACAGAAATTACATCATACTAAAATGTGCGAAAACGACAGCTTAAATGAGATGATAATATACAAGCACCTTCCGAACATGACTAAGCTATTTGTTGGATAAAATGTCACAATTTTTTTTCAAAAAGAAATTTCGATCAATATTGTGTAGAGAATTAGTAAGGCTAAAACAGTGGCAATTTCTGAAGTTTATACAGTGTCCGAGCTGGTGAATCGGTTTCAAAAGAACAAACAGAGAAATTTGTCATCAATACATGTTGAAATGACTTTACAATTGATGCTAAATGGCGAACGATCTGTATCTTCCATATTTTGGGGTAAAAAATATTGTTAATACATGAATTTTTGACGGTAGTTGATTGCGAGAAATAATGAGTCAGTGATAGTGTACTTACGAGTACTCTTAGATATTAAGAGTCATATTTCGCATTTACATTACTTAATAAAATCATAGAATTATCTGAATCGACGTGTGAAAAAATAAAATTTTCAAGAATTTTAAAATAAGTTTGAGTTCTGGTGGCGGCTGTAAGTACATGATATGAGTTGAAAATCATAACTAGTTTGTCACAGTAGAGTCGACTGACAACAACTATTTCTAAGTTTTGTAAACCAGTAAAGTATCGATATTTAATAGCGTGTTTCATGTAGGTGGCAACGCCTCCTCTCTGTTCTTATAATAACGAAAGACTGGTGAAGTACTCGATACTTTTGACTATCATACGGTATGATTCGAAGTTTTTGGTATTGGTATATAACAAAGTTAATATAATAGATAATATAGTTCTTCAAACAAAGATAAATTAGTTTCATGGGCATCTTCAGCAAAATCCAGGATTAGCTGTCCCTCTTTTAGAACGTTTGTCACCCCTGATTATCGATCTGTAGAAATCCTTTGATCATCTTTTCATCTGATAATACGTCTAAGTGAAATGGACAGATGGATGAAGGATTTCGAGTCAGAAATGATTCTTTTACACTACGTAATGGAGAAAATATAGCGCTTTTCTCGTAATCCTGAAATTTTATTTAACTAAGAATGATATAATTTGCTTTTAGTGAGGAACGTATTAAAAATGGTGCAAAAAAATTAACTAAAGCACGCGGCACAAGTCAACAAGGACGCTTGGATTCGTTTTTTACAGTTAGTCATGTTGTATCAACCACTGGAACAGCGAAAACGAAAACAACGGTAATTCTAGGTCACTTTTACATATAAAGAAATCATCTTACCCAACTGGATCTTTCTTATTCTAATTCTAGGAACTTGGCAAAAAAGCAAATAATGGTGTAAAAAGAAAAAGTACAGCTTCAAAGTCTGATAGTACTGGTAATGAATCGAAAAAATCACGTGCCAAATAAAGTCTATCATCGTTGTTTTTTCTAAAAACTTGTCTTACTCACTTTATTTTTGTTAAACAACTGTATTTTTGTTCAAATATTTTTGTGCAGATATTATTTTTCTAAACGTTCGGTTATAGCTCAATTGACGCTTTTTGAACGCCTTTTTTATGTGCATGTTTGTTGAAGGAACCATTCTGTCATTCAGTTATTGTTACATTTATTGACTGTATATAATCTAGAAAGTGATGAACAGACATCGTCAGTTTTGTCAGTTTGATATTTGTGTCTATCTTTTTGTTAAAAAATTTGATTATCGCTCTAACATCCTCAGGGTTCTCGATCAGGGAGTGCTGGCCCCTTCCTAAAAAAATTTTGGACTTTCTGGCAAAATCTTTGACGCTTTTTCCACCAGCAACTTTCTACCAAAAATTTCGAAAACATTTTCATCAGCCGGTTTTTGCGAAGCAAAATTTTTAGCTCTTCCCATCCCTAAGAACAACTGGAAAGCCTGAACATCTTCTATCTTATTTTGTTTTAGATGTCAAAACAAAATCAACACAACGTTTTAAAATTGAAGGTTTGTCTCGTTTTATAACATTGATTCTATTGTTATCAATCATGATTGTATGAATCAGTTGTTTATTTTGTTTCAATGGATATTTTTTACACGTTGATTCAGAATATGACCTTATTTTTTGTTAAATGGACTCAGAAAATATGCTGTTTGACTAGTGATGAGAAGTTGATATTCTGGGGCAAGACAACTACCATATCCAACTTGATGATGATCCCTCCAAAAAACGAAAATGTTAACTTCGAATTTTTCTCTAAATGTCTGCCTGGTTGCTCACTATGCCTCTTCTATTTGATTGAACGCGAGGCAGTAATTCTTTCCATAGCAGTACAATTAGAGCTCAGAGTTTTATTTACATCCGTTAAATAAATCGAGAGAAATAAACAGACAGGATGTTAAATACTTAGGCCAAAATAGTTTGTTTCATAGTTACAAAAACAGTTACAAAAAATGTGTCATGTTTCATTTTTTTATTACAAAAGGAATTTATCTTATTTATTTAGATTAACGAAACGAATGTTCTTCGTCATGAACTCGAAACATTAAAACCGAATCGAGTAAGTTGAGAAAAACAGGAATAGAGCTGTATCGCAATATAATACTTGTTCGATAAATGTCATGAAGTACTCATTTTAAGTAGAAAAAAACGTTTTAATTGAAGTTTTTGGCACAAAAACTATCTTTATGTCGTAATCGTTCTTTTCTTTTGGTTGATTGTGTCATGATTATATTAGTACAAATTTTGATTCTTCTGAACTTTTTTGGGTTTAGACAAATCGGCAAAGTCTTTCAAAAAGTAGTTGCATCTGACATACAATAAGTTACTGAAATTTTGCACAGGTCTTTTTACGAGAGAATTTATGGAATTACCACCATAAAATTTTTCATTTTCGATCATTTATTTTTTATTTTTAGAATGTTTATACCGTACAAACTGGCACAAATATATTTTTTAAAAGCAATAAAAACATCGCTCTTCAATCTTGTCTAGGTAAGAGTAGAATCTCCATACCCGAACTAAGCAAAACAATATCTGATTATTTATTCTAGAAACTTTAAAATCATTACAGCATGAACTCAAGGAATGCGAAAAATCATCTGTTGTGAATGATCAAGCTTGAAACAATGCATTATTATTATTATTATTATTTATCTAATCGTTTTCTTTATTAGGGCTATTCTAATTTGTTGTTATTCGGCAGAATCAGATTATATGCATGGGTTATTATCCATTTAAAAGTAGTCAAAAATTAGCACAAAAATTACGATTTTTAAAAGCAACAATGTTTGAATATAGCTGACAATATTGAAAACTTAAATTATATACCAAAATGTGTGTATTATGAATATTACACGTTATGCATCATTTATAGATTGAATTGTAAAAAAATTCTACATTGATTGTAGTTTTGATTATTGTTGTTCTTATAGTGTATTTTGATGTCTGCACAATAAATATGACATTCAGAAATGATTTTCAACGCTACATCTAGCACTTAATATTAAAATCAGCATCGTGGTTGCTTGTCTTGTATGGGCAGAATAAAACATCTGTGTCGACTTTTTAGTCATAATCTAACGAATTCTTTACTTAGATGGTTAGGTATCAGAGGTGGGCGATGGACTATCTTTAACTCCCTCGCGAGGATCGCCTCACAGACTTCCTGCCTCGTCATCGCCCCGTACCTCGTCAAGTTTCGAGAAATCTACTTCGCGGGGATCGCCCCGTAAG